CAGGCTTAAGTGATTCTCTTGCCTCAGCCTCCTGAGTAGCTGGGACTACAGGTGCCTGCCACAATGCCCAGCTACTTTTTGGTTGTAGTTGTCATTGTTTGGCAGGCCCGGACCAGATTTGAACCCGTCAGCTCTGGTATATGTGGCTGGCACCTTAGCTGTTTGACCTACAGGTGCCACCTTTTTTTTTTTTTTCTTTTTCTCTGGAGTCTGGATCTTGCTCTATCACCCAGGCTGGAGTGCACTGGCATGATCATAGCTCACTGCAGCCTTGAATTCCTGGGCTCAAGTAATCCTCCTGCCTCAGCCTCCCAAGTAGCTAAGGCTACAGATGTGCAGCACCATGCCTGGAAAATTTAAAAATTTTCTTGTAGAGATGAGGTCCTGCTATGTTGCCTAGGCTGTTCTTGGCCTCAAACTATCCTCCTACCTTGGCCTCCCCTCCCAAAGTGCTAGGATTACAAATGTGAGCCCCCACACCCAGCTCGGTCTCCAGTTTTATTTTTTTTAACACCCTCTGACTTCTCCATGTACTGGCGATTCTGTATTAAAGGGCCGCAGCATTAGGAAGGTTGAGAAACACTACCATATACAAATTTGGATTTGTAGGATACTTGTAGGTATAGGGTGTTCTTCTCCTTTTTCTCTCGAGGAGAAAGGAAGATATAATTTAGTTCGAATCATCTTTTTTTCCTCAAAATGTCCTGAGAGTGAACGTAATAAAATATCCAACAAGCCTATTTGAATGAAGACAAGGTATAATTTGCATGATAAAGATATATTTCCATTTATAAAGTTCATCAGCAGAATTAATGACAAATAAAGGGAAGATCCAATTAAAGTTCCCCATCCATTAACAATCTCACTTCACTCTCAGGGCAGGAATTTTAAAAAGAGAGGCTCAAGTTGGAAATGATTTAAATATTAGGGTTGGTGGCATTAAAAAGGACATGAAATGATCATATTAGAATTCAAGGAAAAAAAGATTCTCTGGTGATTTTTGTCATCAGAGTCAGATGCATTTCCCCTCAATCCTAGTTCCACCGGCTTTTTCTTGTTCACCCAAATGAGCTGCCAAGAACTGATGGGCGCCATCATAATCAAAGAAAACAAGTTTGCCCTTTAAAGCAAAAGAGGTAATTTGGCTGAAAGCAAATTGGAAACATTTCATATAACATTGCATTTCCTGTCGCAATCTCAGAAGAATTCAGGCATTTTGATTTATGCCTGAGAGCTTTGGGGGACAATGGGGGTAGGTATGTTCATTAACCATTTTGTCCGCATTCATCCTGTGGCCATGGGGCAAAGATCCTTCATCCTCAGAGAGGCTAAAGATGCTCCATGGCTCTCCCTAAAACTTTATCTTCAGGAAAAGCCTCAAAGGAGCACATGACGTTGATTGGGGAGCAGGATATGGGTGTGAATCAAAGTGATATACGATACTGCTGTTCTCAGCCTCAGTCCTCAGCTCCCAAAGTTCTGATTTTGGATCCATTCTGACCACGCTTGTTCTTAGTTGCTTTAGGCGTTCCTTTGATCTCCTCCCCCTCCCCTTCTGTTCATTTACTCTTTGGTTTAGTGAATAAAAAGTATTTTTTGTGACTTCAAATATCACTTCCTTCTACATTGCATTTGTATCTCTATCCCCAAGGCCTCTCTGGAGGCCTTCTGATCTAGTCTGCTGTCTTCAGTATTTTATCAGCTAGGGTTCTTTAATTGCAAGCAACAGAAACTGACCCTGGCTAAGCAAAATGAACAAGGCCTCAGAAAGAACAATAGCTAAGGAAGTTCTGAGGATCTTAGTAGTGGGACCTTCAAGAATTCACTTGGAGCATAAATCACCTCCCACCATTCCTCATCCATGTCTCCCTCTTTTCTGGATTCACACTCCAAGGAGAGAGAAGGGCGGGGCTTTTTAATTGACATTCCCACCAAGAACCTTGGAAGGAAAACCAACAAAGAAAGTGTATCATGGGAAAGGTGAGACATCACTGTCTACTGCCCACTCCAGGGTGGCAGCTGGAACTCAATGAGTGGAAAACTGAGGCTCTTTGTCCTCCCCTCTGAACTTCTCCTGGTTTCCCTGGTTTCCCTGGTTTCCTAAAGGCCACACCATTCCCTTCCAGACACTCAAACTCAAACTTATCTTCCACTCATCAAGTCCTAGTGATCCTTTCTTCAATGCATGCCTCACATCTACAGACAGAATATGCAAATAAAAATGGTACAGGTAACCTTTAAGTGGTAACAACAGATCTTTTCCCAAGATGATGGTCAGTGTCTTTTTTTTTTTTTTCAGTACTGGGTATACAATAGTGATCAAAGTATTTAAAGCCTCTATTTTCATTGGAGCTTACTCCTCAGGAGAGAAAAAACAAAATAAATAAGTCCATATAGAGATGTCAGGTGGTGACACTTAACCTGGAAAATAAGTAAATAGGATAAAGGGGCTGGGGGAAAGAAGGATAAGGTGAGGGGTAGGGGTGGTGTGTTGAGTGGCCCAGCCATCAGAAATCACTAAAGTCCTGAACCTGAGATTTCAGGTTCCCTGGGTTAATACTATTAGTATTTATTGAACGTGTGCAGAATCCAGGCCCCATGCTAGAAGCTTCCCTTTAATCTTGAAGATTCCTGTTTTACAGCTAAAGACGGGGGCTGTGCAAACCTTGTACTCTTAGCCATTGTGCAATGGGAGGCAACACGAAGGATTGATTTCTGATTGCTGCTGTGGATTTTTCTGAAACAGTCTTTTATTCTTTTTATTTTCCTTTTCTCCAGCTTAGACGCTGATATGACTGCAGCAATCTTTTAAATAAGCCTTTTATTTTGTAATAATTATAGATTTACAGAAAAGTTGCAAAGATAATAGGGAGTTTCCATATGCCCTTCATTCAGCTCCCCCTAATGTTCGCATCTTATATAACATCGATATGTTTGTCAAAACTAAGAAATTTACACAACAGCAAAATGTGTCTTAAAAAAAAAATACTAAGAAGTTATAGGTGGTACATGCATTAATTAAACTTTGGACTTTATTTAGATCTCTCTGGATTCTTCCAATAATGTCCTTTTTTTCATTCCAGGGTCCAATCCAGGATACAACATTGCATTTAGTGGAATAGTTTTTAAATTATATTTTAAAGTCATTGTTTACTCCCACTCCCCTCCCCCCATTTCTAAAATCAATACTTAAATTTGGGAGGTTGAAGTGAGATAATCACTTGAGGTCAAAAGTTGAAGGCCAGCCTGGGCAACATAGCAAGACTCCATCTCTACAAAAATGAAAATATTACTGGGGGGCTGGGTGCTCATGCCTATAATCCTAGCACTCCCGGAGGGTGAGGTAGGAGGATCACTTGTGGTCACGAGTTTGAGACCAGTCTGTACTAAAACTGGAAAAATTAGCCAAGTGTTGTGGCAGGTGCCTAGCTACTTAGGAGGCTGAGGAAAGAGATCACTTGAATCCAGCCAGGGCACTCTAGCCTGGGCAACAGAATGAGACTCTATCTCAAAAGATAAAAAATTACTCAGGTGTATTGGTCCCAGCTATACTATCACTTAAACCCAGGAGTTGGAGGTAGCTGTGAGTTATGATTGTGCCACTATATGCTAGCCTGGGTGACAGAATGAAATTCTATCTCATAATACAATACAAAATAAATACTTAAAAATCAGTGAAAACATGCTAAGCCTAATCCTATTCGCTTTTAGCTCCATGGTTTGTTCTGTTCCTGTCCTGCTCTGGGATTTAGGCTGTGGGGCCTTGAGCAATGTGGCCTCCCTTGTCAGTTGGTTTCTTGCTGGTTTTGGCCAATGGGGGGTACAGGTGTGGGGATAGGGGGTGAGAGGAAGGGAGAAAACAGGTATTTCTCTATCCACACTCCCCTTCCCTGCCCTGTCGTTGGGCTGCATTTCTGGCAGTGGCTCTAGCTCATCTGGGATGACTAGATCCGTAATGACTATGCTTGGAGCCTGGGCCCCAAGCTCACCACCTCCTCCATATGTAGTGGCTTAGTGTTATTGAGAACTGCTGATGGCTTTACCTCCCCCTGGTTGGCCTCTCAACTCTTCCATTACCGGGGTAATGGGTTTCCTTTATTTAAATCCTTAGAATGGTATCTGTTTTCTCAGGCCACAGTGCTTAAGAATCGCCTCCATATGTGGTTCCCCTACTGTCGTGGTCCTAACACCCTCCCAACGCCAAAAACTTCTCATTTAAAGGTTCTGTGTGTAAGCAGCCGGGCATCTAAGATGAACTCTCCATGTCAACAGTTGTGGCTGCTGTGGCCACACTAACCACACCTACGCCTATGTCACTATAGCTCTACTAACACCTACTCCTTCCTTTTTCAGGGTTGCTGAGACAATAAAAGGTGATCCCCAGATAGTCTACCGAAGTCCCAATCTCGAGGGCCTACAGAGGCAAAGAAGGCTGCCCACAAAATGGCTTTGGACATTCTTGCCGTGGCCCCTTTCTACCAAAGCCCCGCCATAAACAAAATGGGGTTAAAGACAGGCCTGTTCAAAAAGCCAGAAGACCTGCTAAAACCCTTGGTCCCCTGTAAGACCAAACTCACCACCATTGAGGCCAAGAGGATCATGTCCGTCCTGGAGGAGGCCATCTACAAGGTGGAGTTGGTGACACTGCTGTCATATGTTGCCTCCAACCCAGAGGATATGGAGAAGGTTCTGGGGGAGGACATCCTGAGGGCAATGAGAGAGCATGAGGACTTCTGCCAGGACCTTTTGGAAAATGTCAGATACATAAAGGAGAAAGAAAGGAAGGTGCAGGAGGAGGAAGATATGGAGGAGGAAGCGTGGATCAGAAGCCGTCTGCTCTCCATAGACCTGCAGAAATCCAGCCTCCTGCCACTTATGCAAAAGATCAAGGATTCCACCAAGAACATCCTGCGACTCCTTCTTGCTAACCCCCAGGCTGCCAGATTTCTGCAGATGCAGGCACTGGGCAGAAGCACAGAAGCCAAGAAGTTTATTGAAAGCCTGATGGAACTCCAGTGTTTCCTGTTTGAGAAGTTACTCACTAGCCCCATGGAAGCAAGGGAGAGGGCCCAGTTCATACAGGATATCAACAGACGAGACCAGAGGAACCAAGAAGTCATCACTGCTCTTGAAAATGATTTGGCATCAAGAATGAAGAACAGGGATGCAGAGGTATTATTCCATGGTACCAGTCAAGTTATGCAAGGAGCCACACCAAGTAACCCAAATCTTCCTGTGGTTGGGTTTTTCCTGTGATTTAAATAGCTTATAAAAATTCATTGAGGTGATGCTTGTGGCTCAGTGAGTAGGGCGCCAGCACCAAATACTGAGGGTGGTGGGTTTGAACCCAGCCCCGGCCAAACTGCAACAACAACAACAACAACAACAACAACAAAATACCAGGCATTGTGGCAGGAGCCTGTAGACCCAGCTACTCAGGAGGCTGAGACAAGAGAATAGCCTAAGCCCAGGAGCTGGAGGTTGCTGTGAGCTGTGACGCCACCATGGCACTCTACCCAGGGCAGCAAAGTGAGACTCTGTCTCTTAAAAAAAAAAATTTCATTTGAGCACTTACTAGGTGCCAGGTCTTGTATAAGCCCATGTGGTCCCAGCCTCGGGGAGTTCACGGTAATGAAGGTCAGTATTAAAGAACTCATTTTGTCGGCTCGGTGCTTGTGGCTCAGCGGCTAGGGCACTGGCCACATACTCCAGAGCTAGCAGGTTTGAATCCAGCCTGAGCCTGCCAAACAACAATGACAACTACAACCAAAAAATAGCCAGGCATTGTGGCGGGCACCATAATCCCAGCTACTTGGGAAGCTGAGACAAGAGAATCACTTAAACCCAAGAGTTGGAGGTTGCTGTGAGCTGTGACGTCACTGCACTCTACTGAGGGTGACAGTGAGACTCTGTCTCAAAAAAAAAAAAAAGAATTCATTTTGTCACAGTTTTGAGAAGTACAATGATAGGTAGTACAAGGTGCTGTAAGAGAGTGTTATAGGAGAACTGAACTTGGAACAAAAAGGCAGGGATATTGAAGCCAAGACATGAAGAATGTGAGAGAGTGAGCCAAGCAGTGAAAGTGAGGAAGAACCTTCCAAGACAGGGGTCAGCAAACTTTTTCTACAAAGGGCCGGATAGTAAACACATTAGATTTTGTGGGCCAGATGTTGCAATTACTTTTCTCAATTCTGCTATCATAGTGTGAAAGCAGCCATAAATAGTATGTAAATGGACTTTGTTCCAATAAAACTTTATTTACAAACATAGGTGGCTTTCTAGATTTGGCCTGTGGGCCTTAGTTTGCTGACCCCTGTTCCAGGTGGAGAGGAGTATGTGCCCAGGTCTTGAGATGGGAATGAGCCTGGCTAGATCAGAAACCCAAAGAATGCCAGTGAGCTGGAGGGAAGGGACAAGAAAGCCCTGGAATGAAGGGACTGGAAACAGAGACAGACCTCAGAGGGCCTTTGATCCATAATCTAGGAATTTGGTCATTGTCCTGAGAGCAAGGGGCAGGGGCAAGCACAAGTAAGCTCTAGAAGAAGGTGGGGTGTGTGTGTGTGTGTGTGTTTTGAGACAGATCTTGCTCTATCACCCAGGATAGAATACATCATCAGAGCTCACTTCAGCCTTGAACACCCCACACCTAGGGTGTTAAGGGATCCTCTTGCCTCAGCCCCTCCAGCAGCTGGGACTATAGGCATGTACCACCATGCCTGGCTTAGGAGAATTTTTTTTTTTTTTAGAGACAGAGTCTTTATTGCTCTCAGTAGAGTGCTGTGGCATCACAACTCACAGCAACCTCCAACTTAGGGCTTAAGCGATTCTCTTGCCTTAGCCTTCCAAGTAGCTGGGACTACAGGCGCCTGCCACAATGCCTGGCTATTTTTTTTGTTGCAGTTTGGCCAGGGCCAGGTTCAAACCTGCCACTCTCATTATATGGGGCTGGCACCCTACCCACTGAGCCACAGGTGCCGCCCTAGGAGAATTTTTAAGAAAGGAAATGATAGCATGATCCCAAACCACCATTATGGACATATACTATGTATAATGCGTCAACATGCATTTTTTTTTCCCTCCAAAGCTTTATGAAATTCCTGTGTGGTGGTATGTGAGTATAGATTGAGCTGCTGTAATAGAGATACCCAAACTGTCAGGGGCCTGGATTCTTCCATATGACTTCTTTGCTGTCCCATACATGGGACTTCTAACTGTAAGCTAAGATGGCTCTCCAGGTTTCTCCACATGTCAGAGGGGAGGAGTGGGCTTGGTCCTCCCTTTTAAGGACACACTTGGAAATAGCACATGGTGCTTCCATGCACACCTCTTAGCCATACCCAGCAACTAGAGATGCTATGGAAAGTAGTCTGTTATTGGGGTCACATTCCCAGCTTAACGTTCTACTCCATAGCCTCTCTGAACAGAGCAGATATGGGGACAGACAGCCGTTGTAGGCTTTTCTGTTTTTATCTACCATTACTGATGGGAGAGCCAAGGCCCTACGAGGCTATCTGCTGCCCCATGCACTTGGTCAGGCAGTTCTCACCAAATTTTTCCTTTAAGGCATTCATCAGATTTTGTTGACAAATGTTTGTGTGTGATTTGTGTGATCTTGTAGAAGTCTGGCTCTCCTTCAAGAAAACAGGGATCTTGTCTCTTTTGGTCTGCCACTGTGTCCCCAGTGAGCCTGGCCTCAAAGAGGCTCATATAGTATGCTTGCTGAGTGGACAGGTGACAGGCTGCTAGGTGCTTAGGCAATGGGGACACTGCCTAGTCATCTAGGGATAGCTGGAGAGCCTCAAGTGGCATTGCTGGTCCCATTTGGGTGGTGGAACCAGCTTGGGGCTTTCAACTTGGACTGCTTGGGAGTCAAGTTCCATTTTTTCCAAGTGGGCAAATTTTTTCATGTCATTGAACCTTAGCATAAAATGACAGTGAGACACCAATCAGGCATGTTGTGAGGATTTTATAAGGAAAGCTCTGACTGCCAGAAATACTGCCGGATCTAAAACCTAACACCTAGTGCAGGAAGCCTTGCCTGCAGGATAGGTTTGCCCCAAATGCACAACTCCCTTCCTGCTTGCTGGGAGTGAGTTTCAGATTCCCTGTGGTCCTGCCACTAGCTGACCTCCGCTGACCCTAGCCCAGGGATGTAGCAAGAACAGTCACAGCACTTGTATTCAGATGGAGACCCTAGTATTGGGGGGAAGACTTTAGAATACAGCTTATTTACAAAACAGTCCCACTATCCACCCCTATTCCTATTCTAGAATTGACCCATAGTAAAGGCTAAGCCAGGGATGGGACCTTAAGGGAGGGCCCAGTGACAATCTCAGCAGTGTGTGCATGTTAGTGCTTCCTGTCCCATCTCTGCCAACAGGGCCCTCCCTTGCTGAGTCCCCCAGGGGAGCATCACTGTCCCAGATCTCATGTGTGGCCTTGCTCTGGTGGCTTGTGCCTATCACTCATGTAGGGAAATATTATAAGAAGGTTGTGAGGCGGATGTGGTGGCTCACCCCTGTAATCCTTGCACTAAGGAAGGCCAAGGCAGGTGGATTGCCTGAGTTCACAGGTTCAGGACCAGCCTGAGCCAGAGCATGACCTCATCTCTAAAAGTAGACAGGTGTTATGGCAGGCGCCTGTAGTTCCAGCTACTCAGGAGGCTGAGGCAAGAGGATCACTTGAGCCCAAGAGTTTGAGGTGGTTGCTATGAGCTCTGACACCACGGCACTCTACCAAGGGTGGCAAAGTGAGACTCTGTCTCCAAAAAAAAAAAAAAGAGAGAGAGAGAGGAGGTTGTGACTGGGCACAGTGGCTCGCACCTGTAATCCTAGCACTCTGGGAGGCCAAGACAGACAAATTGCTTGAGCCCAGGAGTTCCAGACCAGCCTGAGCAAGAGATCTTATCTCTACTAAAAATAGAATAAACATTAGCCGGACGTGGTAGTACATGCCTGTGGTCCCAGCTACTTGGGAGGCTGAGGCAAGAAGATTGCTTAAGCCCAAGAGTTTGAGGTTGCTGTGAGCTATGATGATGCCATGGCACTCTACCAGGACAAAAGAGTGAGACTGTCTCAAAAAAAACCCAAAAAAACAAAAAAACAAAAAGAAAAAATGAAGGTTGTAGCCAAGAACACAGGCTCTGAACCAGACAGACCTGGCTTCAGATGTTGTTTTAGCTCTGCAGCCCTAGACAATTGACTCCACCTCCTGAGCCTGTTTCCTAATTGGTAATATGTAATTTCACTGTCCCCAGGGCCTGTCCTGGGGTTGGGGGTAAGAAGAGTCAGCAAGATAGTAATGCAAGTGGTATGCCCAGCCATGGGAAGGATGCAGTAGTGGCTGCCGCTCCTGGGATGATCAGTGTAGGTGTTAATGGAGCCCTTTCTCTTCCTGGTCCAGCTGAAGAAGGAGAATTTTGTGATCCAAGAGCTGAAAAACCACCTGCATCAGGTGCTCAAGTTCTCAGAGAACAGCGTCCTCCGAACCAAACAAGAGGCTGAAAAGCAGCAGAAGGCGGACTTCAAGGCCTCACAAGCCAGGATTGCCAAGATCCAGAAGGAGATCCTGATGTTGCGGTCACAGTTCCACAACCTGGTCACGGAGAATCGGGAGGTGGAACAGGCGCTGAGGAAGGTGCCCTGGGGAGCATGGAGGATGGGACAGTAGGGCCCCCCCCCCC